TGCCAGCCTTCTGGAGGTGACAGAAGAGGGTACAGATGTAGGGTAAATGTAAGAACAATATACCATGTCATATAAAGGAAATTAACTCAAGAAAATGGTATGAATGGTGCTACCTACAGATGTCACCAGCTGTATTTTCCCATAGATGTAGGTACTTGCATTGTAATAGAGACAGTGACACCCTGCTGTGCTCTTGCTCTTCCTCTTTTCCAGCCAAGAGAAGCCTAAAAGATTTCCACTCCCTTATGAACACTAGGTATTTATTCACATTTTTGCAAATGCAGAGGACTAACTGGTAAGAATTTTATACTAGCTCTGCTCAGTTATATAAATGAAAGTCAGAGAAATACCAAACAATTTTTCCTAAGAAACATTAATCTTTTGGTCTATTTTTTAAATGAAATACTAGATTTAGAGTTACTTGCTGTAATAATTCAATGCCCAATTATAAAAAGTCATATGCTTAATTGAATTTGTTTTCAGTTTCTGTCCATGCATTCCTTAATGTGTCTATGAAGCTCCCTAAGGCTATCATAATGCAACGTTTCAAATGTACTCCCTACGCCAAAATGATCATAGGTGACCTTCACCCATAACATTACAAGTGATAAGTCTCATACTATAAAAAGCCAGTAATTTCTGCAACCCATAGATTTCAAAATTGATGCGTTTGTCACTTGGGAAAAATGTATGCTTTGCTTTTAGCAGAAGTCCCAGAACTGGTAGGATTTTCAGTGTTTCTGTGGTGCTATGAGCCATAGTTGCTAAGATCTTAATTCTTAATTTAAATCCTATCATAGAGAAAAAACACTGCACATAACTAAAATATTTTTTTGCAATTCATTACTGCATAAATCGATTAAAGGAATTTAAATCTTTTGGTATTAAAAATCTAGTGATAAAAAGATACAAATTATTGTCATAGCGTAAAAGAAGCAATTTATATTTTTTAAGGTAAATGACATGAGCATACTTACTTATCTTAATCATAGATGTGGATATTCAGATCAGAAAAATGTTACATATATATCATTAAAAGCTGTAAAAGCAACAATATTTTAAGTACAGCATTATGAGCATTTTATTTCTAAAAAACAATGCTGATACTAGAAGTATATAAAACCATGTATCACTTTATAGCTGCACTGCACAATTACAGGCATCTGCTCTAAATAGAGGTCTCATCTTAGTTTCATTTTGCTTTCTGTATTGACATTTGTTTATGGTTGAAGAAATAACTATCTCAAGTATTATGTTTGCTAAGAGGCTCTTAACATAATGTAAAGTTGCTTCCCTAATACAGATGCTACTCGATAGCCTAGAAATTGCATGGAGGTTCCAATTACTAAATCTATTTCATACTGGAATAGAAAAGTGAACTACTTGCTGCAACACAAGGCGTTTATTGACTAAATGAGCCTTTGCCATGACACAACTGAAGATACACAACTAGAGCTTTAATGCCACTAATAAATAATCTCTGTGAACAATGATTTCATTAGGTTAATACTAAACCTTTTTTTTGTCTCTTTGTGCTCAGTGAAATTGGTGGGGTAATGGTAAGGGTAACAGGGATTGTGTCAAAGAAAATTTGGATTTGAGATACAAGGGAAAGCTTTTCCTTTCATACCCTCTCAGTGCCAGCAGCCTTTCTTCAGTGTTGTCCAGGGTACTTAAAATGATGTTCTTATAAAAACAAGTTTCAAGCCATTACGAATCTCACATTTCAGCCTTCTTCAGTTAAAATTATCAAGTAGTTCTAATAGCAGTACTACGTGAAACAGGGCAGGAAAGACAGCACTGTTAGTATAATCACTGCAGGGTGGCCAGGGCACTCAGTAACGTTTCAGAGATGGCATTTAATGCAATAAAGTTCACAATTTACTTTTTTAGATTAGATTAACACTTGAATGCATCTTATCTGCCTGAAAGAGGCAGGCAAGTGAGACACCACAAAGCTGGCAAAGGAGGAAAAAGAGAGACAGCTAGAAGAAAAAAATAGCAGCTTCAAATTACATCATTTTCTTTTGCCACAAGAACTTACAAAACCCACAAGCTTTTTTTTCCTCCCACAACTTCATCCCTCATTTTCTATCATAAACATCCAATGACTTGGTCAATACTTTTGACTTGGGCCCTGATCTTGCACACTTCCATATAGATTTAAGTTTACTCACATGAGTAGCATTATTGGCTGCAATAAGACAATTCATCAAACGCATAAATCTTTTAGGATCGCTGGCTTTGTTTTGTTAAGGTGAAGCAGGATGTTAAAATAACTTTGTTCCTGAAAGTTTAACAAGGAACTTTACAGTGGCAGGAAGAAGAACCAAGCAATTCACAGATTCCTTAAAAGAAGTTGAAATTAATTTTTAAATGACGCATTGAAAATGCTAACAGAAATACAGAAATAATCTTTGTTCTGCTCTATCTCTTCATAGTGCAAATACAAGTTGTCCACGTTCTGAAATAGAGAATTTTAGAAAATTAAAATTAATAATTTCAAATGAACACATTTTTCTCTGTCATATGCTGTGCCAAACTGTGCATTATCAGACTACTGATATGCTTCTTTGAATGATTCATGGAACACTTAACATTACAATATCTCACTGATATACATCCTGCTGGGATTTATTGACACTATAATATTTCTAAAACTAAATAACCTGATGTTATGTGCATATGATGTCCTGAATTCACAGATCTTAGTATGGCAATACATTTTGAAAAACCCAGACTTGCAACACCGGGTATCATAGGGGATATATGATTCTAACATGACATTAAATTCTGGTTCTGTCTATACATAACCTCTTTCTGTATGGGAACATGTATATACTGAAAAATTAGTTATGCACTAGAAAACCTACAGCCATTTCAAAGTACTGCTTTATGGTTCTGGAGGTTTTGTGAAATGGCATTTCTATGGATTTAAGGTGTACCTATTCAGGACAAAAGTTTGATGCCACTAGCACTAATAGGTCTCTCCTAGCTGTAAAAAGGAGGGTTTTTCTTCTTGTGGTTTTTTTTTTTTTTTTAAATGTATATATAATAAAGTTTTTTGCCTAGGTTTCTTAAATATTTTAGCCTAATACCACTTTGTGAGAGTTTTCTACAGATGGAAGCAATGAGAAATAAAATCACTGGATGTCAGCAGTGGAAGCACTCTCCTAAATCTGTGACAGAACCACATTACTCCTTCTTCTCAACCTTCTCTGCTTTTCACAATCTTTCAGGATCATCCTTCTCAATTAAAAGCCCAAGTCAGAATTCAGCTTATATGGTTTTAAACTATTTGACAGAAGTCTCCCCTCAAAAGGCAGACAATTATATGTTCATAATTCATGAACAGAATTATCCACTAATCCTAAGTAACCCTGTTCTTCATTATCTTCACTTGAAAATTAAGTATATAAAGCACTGGAAAAGCAAATTTAAAAGGAAAAAAAAAGGAACAATTCTTCTTCTACTTAGAACACAATGTATTAGCAATATATTATGTAGATGTGACTAAATCACGTAAAGTATTTAAAACTAAAGAGTTTTTGATTACTGCAATGTTTGGGATGAGCTATTAGATTATAAATAAACACTAAAGCTATGACAGACCCAGCTATAGAAGACATAATTTCTATTGGTTTTCCTCTTTTAAAACAGATGTGTGAGTTCAATCCCAGTGTCTACATAAAAGAAGTCTTTGAGTTCAGTAGGTGGTTTGCCCTATGAAAAATAGGAAATGGGGTATTAGCAGCCTCCAGGACTCCAAGGAATGGAGCAGCTTCAACTTCCACTTTAGTAAATGGAAATTATGGCTAGAAAGATGACAGTAAACAGCATGCAGAATCAGTTTTAGAAGTTGTTGCAAACAACTACCACCTATTTTCTTACCAGAGAAAATCATTAGGATGCATCTCACAAGTAATACGCTTCAGCAGTAGCAAGCATTCACAGAAATGTTTCCAATTAATTCAATTTAGGTTGTCATAAAATTGAAAAATAAAACACATCAATATTTGCATGAGAATCAATGAACATCTGAAGATGGTGTCCACTTGCACACATAACCTTTCCAGCATTACAGCACTTAATAGTAGAATGTATTTTACAACTACTGAATTAAAATTTATATTGCACTGAAATATGTCCTGTAAAAAGCCAGTTACAAATTGCTTTGGTTTATTTATAGCTTAATTTATCACTGAAATACAGAAAAATGATCAGGAAACCTGATAAAAGTTTAAAATTGATTGTCAAAAAGAACTTATAAATACATTTTCTTCATATATGGTATTATCACTTAAAAGAATACGCTTAATAATAATAAATAAATGCTTTATTCAATTAATTTGGTGCAATCTTATCTTCACTCAGTTAAAACCAACTTTGAAAAGAGTTTGATCCTGTCGGTCCTATTTCCTAGTGATATGTAGAGCCTTCTTTTACATTTTATGACAATTTGAACATATTACAAACAAACCATTCAAAAACTAACAGAAATTAAGAAAACTACAGACAGACTGGCTAACCAATAAGATTCCAAGTTTGACATGGTATATGAGCTCCATTATCTAACTGAGAATATTACTTGAAAATTAAAAAATCTTTCCTGAAAACTGTAGAACAAAGAGGAAATGTTAGTAGAAATAACAAGAAAATAGAAAGAAAACCAACAAATGATTGTATTCAAAATGGTAGTCAGTCATTTTCAAAAGGTGTTGCCTCGTCACTCTATCGCTTTTTGTGTTTCAGAATTTCTATCATTCTAAGTTTCTTAGAGTTCTTCATCTTGATAAGTCTCCAATAAAACAAAAATATTATCTCCTTTGCTAGAGCAAAGGAAGATAATATAGTCTGCACAGCTGGTAGTCCTACATAGCCTGTTGATGTCGTATTACACTGATTGGTTCTTCTTAAGCAGATGCACTGGGTTTCTGAAACAGTGTCAGAATTGGAAAGTTCTGAGGTGGTTTCTACTCTTTTTGTTAATGATGTGATATTTATAACAACAAACAAACTCCTGACTTAGCTTCACCTCCATTTGCGTATCCCCCGGAATCTACTCTGTTAGGATCATTCAGTTCTTCAAACAGTCCTGTTTCAATAATTTCTTCCTGCCAGGCTATAGGGACAGCACCTGTCGCAAACTTTTTGAAGAACTTCTTATCTTTGTCATCAAACTCAATTCCTCGTATTTCAGAGAAGTCAGCAATGTCTGCAACATCTTTGGCATAGACAACAGATGGATCTGGCACAAATGGAGGGTCAATAAGGTTTGCCTCTAGCCTGTGGAAATTTATTGTTTTGAAGAAACTATGTTTTCTTGGGTCATCATCTTCATTTCTGCAATAAAGCAAAAGTTTGTTAATCATTATGATGTTTTGCTCTCAGGTGTGTCTTTGTGTTGTATACGTGAGGATATTTTAAAGTAAGGAGAGCTATATACGCATGCACACACAAAATGCAATGCAATTCCTTTTTTCATAACCAAAGAATGCTGCATTGCACAATGCAAGCGAAGCTGAGAAGCAGAAAACATCCTGATCCCAATATTCATTACTCTACCTCTCAGGGTAAATTGGTCTGGGCAAGGTGCCATGCAAGAGTTGCAGTGCTGCTTCTGGCAGCGCACTGAGATACCCATATCCAAAGATACACTTTAGCCGGAACTGAAGATACAACAGGATGGGGAGGAGGAGTACTGGATTTATTGTCCAACAATTGAAGTCCAATGGTTGGCTCTGTATTAACTAGGATAAGAATATCTATTAAATTCTAGACTGGGTATATTGGGTTAATACATCTAGGGATTGACTCTGAGGAACAACAGTCTGAATAGGAAACTGGTGACAAATGACATTTCTGATTTTATCTTAATTCAAAGCAGCTATGCATTTACATGATGAAACTTAGTTATGTTGCTCTAATACAGTCCCAGTTTTAGTGAGTCTGTTCATTCAAATTAACTACTCTTATAAACAAACAAGCAAGAGATTCACAAATTATGACATTAGCATAAGTATGTGTGCCTCTGTCACAAACACAATCCTTTATTAATATTGTTAAAAGTGAATAATAAAATCCAGAGAGAACTAAAATCATTGTAAATACTATTTTAAATATATCTTAAGAAAAACAACTGCAGACCTCAGGGAGAACTGTTGCTGTAAAAGAAACAGTGAATTATTAATTGTTTCACTGTAGACCCATAGAGACACTTATAGGATATGCTGATGATAAGAATAATCTGAGCCTCAAATCTGTGCTCGTTAAAGCATGACCAAAACTGCGCCTCTACTGTCAAGGCATGGAAAATCTGAGTTTTGAATGCTAGTGAAAGGAGAAGCAGGGAGGGCCACTGTATTTTTTACACCTATGCCTTCTTTTTTTTATGTATTTATGGGTGCACTGGTCTTGAAAATGGTAATGTAAGAAAGACAAACTGGTCTGGTTTTTGGCCTCAGAGAATGGTAGTTGCTAACATGTTGGTGTTTTCTTTTCCCACTTCCTTACAAAATCATATACTTAGCGAAGTATAAGCACTCATGTATTTCTAGACAATGTTCCACGAACAAAATGTAATGCAAGCCTTTGGCAAGTCTTTTTATCTTTGTAAATGTGTAGAAGCACCATATAGAAGTAGTAGATTTGTGTGACTCTACAAAATCTTCCTTTTTTTAAGACCTTATACCATGTATACAGAACAGCTCCTCCAGCTTGCTACTACTGCCAGTTCCTCATACGCTGTCCTGCCATGCTTCTAGCCTGCCTTAGTGCTATCCAGGCACAGCTGAGATCAAACTACCAGCTGCCCTTTTTAGCTCCCTTGTTAGAAAATTGTCATTTTGTGCCTCTGCTGCCTGGTTACTCTGAGCAGGTCACGACCAGCCACTAACCACTCCACATCACTACGACCAGGATGCTAAATCACAGCATGAAGAACGATAGATGCTGCTATCCGGGCACGCTGGACAATGAAAAAATGATGTTTTCAACCAAAAAGAACCATATGAACACAATTATGAATGTATAGATTAAGCTAATAGGGATCATGACCTCTGCATATGCATAGTCTTGCAAAATCATCTCCTAACTTAACTAGCTAGTGATAACCAAGCACTTGAGCAGCCCTCGAGCCTGATGTGATTTATTTACCTTCACTGTTAGGTTGAAGTGCATTAGAGTTGCTGTTCAAATTAACTAGTGTCCTGGGCAGATGCACTCACAAAAATTTCACTTTATTTTGCTTTTCCTTTCTGTAACATAAACCAAAAAGCACTAGAAGCTGGTGAAGGCTCCAGAATGGATTGCTGCAGTGTTTCTCCTCCTAATGTATTTTCTGACACCACCAAAACCATTAAAAGTTTAAAAACATAAAGCTACAGGAACGCCATCTACTGGAACCAACTGAGGCATCTTCCAACTAGCTGGAGATGAACTTGAGCTCTGCCTGTGTGAATTGCATGTTTAGGTAACTTAAATAGAAAGAGCAAATGAACTCACCTAAACTCTGTAAATTTTGTATTCCTCCATTTAAAAAAAAAAAAAAAAAAGATTTGGGATTTGAGATGTCAGTCCCAAAAAGCTTAAGTGGAGAAAAAGGGTTACATCTTTCCTGCGTTAGCCAGTGACACTGAGTCTTCAATAAAAGAGTGGAGTATTTTAAAAGGTCAGGTGTACAAAGTAAAGCTGTCCTTGAGCAGCTTTAACTTATGCAACAGGCATTTATGTAGATAACCCAAGGTCTTGTTGTCCTTAGTAGAATTACGGTGCTAATCTTCACATAAGGATGAGCTGTCCTGAATAGTATCGCCCTGTTTAAGAGGTACACGCAGGCTTTTATTCTGTATCATGCCCAAGCACGGTAGACATCCTATCGTTTTCCTTCTTTAAGTACAACACTTAAGAGTAAGAATATCTTAAATAGCAGAAAATTTAAAATAATCTGTGCAATTACCTTTCTGTGTACATTTCTCCCATTGCTGAGAAATAATGTAACAGTAAGCAGACAGAATGATTCTAAATGATTCCCCTGGCAAAAGGAATGTGATTACAGTAAGTGAATAGTCTATTGCTGGTTTTGCTTCAGACTTGCTGAATGAACTTGATCAAGTCATTGAGAACCTCTAAATTTCGTTTTCCCCTACTCTGAAATTTGTTTACTTCACAAAATGCTGTAACGCTAAATGTCTGCAAAGCATGCTGACTGGTAAGGTAGAATGGTTAAATGTTTTTGTATTAAATTTATTTTTAAAATAAGCTTTTTAAACATATTAAAAATAATACAGATTTTGTATCAAACATATTCTCTGTGCTGTTGAAAATATTTTTTTTTTCTGCAGCCTTGCAGAGTTCTTGGGAAAACTCATCAGGCACAAAGAGTAGTTATCTTCATTTAGCACTGGAATAATAAGAATATATGTATTAATGATATATTACCTTTCATTAAAGTTAATTCTTTCAGGCAAATGTGTGACTAACATTTTGCAATGTCCACGTTGTTATGAAATACAAATTTAGAAGACTATCTGTGCATTTTCATTAAGTCCCTGTGTCTATTCTACCTTTAGATTGGAAAAGCACCTGATACACATATTTGTATTCATAGGTGATTTAAATCATGGTGTATTCTAAAGACAGGCACTATCAGTTTCCTATTAGTTTTTTACATTTTGATTATATTTTTATTACTTTTGTCTATATTACAAATGTAGATCCCCAATCTGTCTCACTAGAAATGCACTAAATGATTTATATATACATATATTTACACACACACATGTATCAGAAGGATCAAAGATATTACAAGTTAAATATTAAAACGCTTTGCTTTCCAATTCTCTTCTTATTGAACAGTTACTTGAAATTGCTAAGTCAGGGACACATCCATCAGTTTTCATCAACCCAAAGCCACCCCTGAAGTCCCAAAAAATGTTTTGCTTTGTGCCCAATATTCTTTTCCTCCCTTTTCTCCCTGGGATGAGTCAGGAAGATTAGAACCTTTACAAGATTTTTTAAAGCACTTGAGTAAAGCAGAGGGGTTAAGGTCTCTTCAGTAAGAAGCCAATGACGCAGCCTTGCAAGTTAGATATCTGCAGGGAAAAGAATTCACATTGCAGATTTGGATTTTTGCCCACATCATTCCAGTAAGTGATACAGCCTAAGAGTCTGCATTCAGTCTGCATTAGCACAGATGCAGGTATCTACTTCAATACCCTTTATCTTTAGGAAAGCAAATGCAAGAGAAATGGGCTGATCCCTTCTCCCAAAACTATATAGAGTCTAACCCCACAAAATACCAAGAGTAGTCTGGGGTGAGGATGGACAATCACACTATTGCAACAGAATTCCTTATTTCCGTATTATCTTCGAAACTTTCCACCTCTCTCTTCCTAGAAGTGAAATGGAAAATTCAGTACTCTGTAGAAAGTCAAGATCTAACCTCAGTTTGTGTAATATGTAAAATAATAATATTGTTTGCAGCTTTAATCTGGCTTTTACTGAGTTTGAGAAGTAAGGCATACCTGCTTCCTAAACGATTCTCTGTTTTCTTAGCCAAGAACAGTCGGCAAATATCTTTCGCTTCCTCTGTAAAGTTGGCATGTTCAAATTTCACCTCATCTTCCAGAGTTCTTCTTTTAACCTCATCCTTACCGACCTTTTCTTTGAAATCCTTGAATGGTGTTCGCCCAGCAACCATCTCATAAATGCTACACCCCATAGCAAACCAGTCCACAGGATAGCTGTAATCTTCTTCCTTCAGGATTTCCGGAGCCATATAACCATTTGTCCCAGCCTATTGCAAACATACAGACAGATTTACTATACAATGTCAGTAATGAAATGCATATAATTAAACAGACTAGTCTATATTTTTTCCAAAATATTAGTAATACAATTGATATATTTTGTATCTAGAAACTGTGTATAATTGATATCTTTTTTTATCTACAAACTCTGAGGTGTAACTCTGTTTTAGCACATGGACTATTTCTGTCTTTAAATATCATATGGGAAAACTATCTTAAATATGCTCTTCAAAGGTGAAATGTCTGTGCAATTTCTATCTAAAAGTGGTTTCTTTTTAAATTAATGTTTAGCTTGCTTTCTTCTTCCATACTATTTTTTTTCCTGTTGAAGATAGTGTTGTTAGCTTTGTCCTGTAAACACAACTAGCAATCAATTTGAAAAGATTAAAAAAAGACAAAAATAAGACAAACAATCACCGATTCCCTCCCTGTTCAGTGGTTATAACTGGTCGAACACAGGGCACATGCTGCCAATGAGAAAATTCTCATCAAGCCAGTAGCTGAGCAGCATGAGGAGGTTCTCACCTGCACTCCCTGTTGGTTTCTGGAAGGAAGTACTACCATCAAGGGCCAAGAAAACTCTTAAAACCATTGTAAGAAAGTAAACCTATGAAAATTATAATTAGTAAATTACATGCATTCAGGTGAAGAACGAGCTTATATTTCCTAACTGAAAAAAGCTCTCTGAATAAAGACTACTACTATATACAGCACTAAGGGACCCTTCTCCCAAGAGACGTGACTGCTCTTTGAGAGGGGAGTCTGCCTGCTGCCTTCCCAGACCAGGCCTGGGGGACACACTGCACAGTGTTCAAAACAGCTCCTGCTCTCTAGGGAGCTGATTTACCTGGGGGGGAAGAGAGGAGGTCGACCTCTCTATATGCTTTCTGCTGCACTGTTATATGACTGAAGATGTGAGATTCCAATTGAAACAGCATTCCCTCAGCTGACCCAAAATTTCCTGTGACACCTGATGCTATAGCTTATTATATATTTACCAGATTCAGCTAACAGTGATAACTATGTCAGAAGTTGCTTGAACCTCTTTTATATCTTTTCGAAATACTGGGACTGATGAGTTAGTAGTATTACCATCTAAAATGAAAAATTATGTTTGTGCAAAATCCCACTAAAGGTCATTCAAGATGGTCATCGTTACCAGAACACCAGTAGTGAGAGATTCACTCCAAAGCAAAACAGTTAGAAAAAGGTAACTAAAACTAGAGCTCATTTGGGCAAATTATATTTGTAAAAAGCACAGTTCAACAGACGAATTTTATTTTATGGGGCTTGGGTAACTCCTCTAATTTTTGCAACTTTGGGCACAGACTTTCTGAGTCAGGTCTCCCTACAAACTTTAGCTCATGTCACTACACATTATGGCATATACTCTACTGTAAACAATGTGTGCAAGAGGGAACATCTTGGCATCAATTACAACATAAGCCCAATGGACAGAAACTTAAATCCAGTTTGTTTTCCCTCTTTGTATTTTTTTTTACTTTTAGGGATACAGAGCAAAATCCTCCATTTGGTTGAAAAACAGAAATGAGATGAGAAGAACAAAAATATCAGCCAGGTTGAAAGCAAAAGAAAAGGCTAAAAGCGAACTGTTGCCTCCCTCACTAAAACCACAAAAGCACAGAGGAGCCATATGGGCATTGCAGCAGCTGACATCACTCCACAGGTAATTTGTTTGCATTGAATTTCTCTAAGTAAAAGTTAATATTGAGAGACACCCTGACAGTATTACATTTTATGTAAGATTACTGCTCCATTCAGAAAGGGGGACAAGTGCTCAATTACGGACCACAGAGCCCAGATCCATCTGGCCTCAGAAGATCATGAAGGGAGAGGAGTGGTTGAAAGCAGTAGAGAAAGTTTGGTACAAAAGGATGCTAAGAGCATCCTTGCTCATTGCAGGTTACTGAACACAGACACTAAATAGGCTTCCCCCCCCCCGCTTCTGGGAAGCAAGAAACATTCTTATTTTTACTGAGATGAAGCTGGGGCACTAATGCCTTGAAGAACTGATGAGTCATGTCATCATCAAAATGTACCCCAACAGCACAGTATGGTCTTTCTCATAAGACATTCCTTTGCTGCAACTTAGCATCATCATATGGGGACTGGATAAATCTGACATGGAAAAATCAGAATTCTGTGATCATAAATGTGTCTCAAGGCAGCTCCTTTCAGACTGCCTCTCTTTCCTTCCACTTGTGTTCTTTCTTCCATAGTTGTTTTTTCAAAAGAAATAGTTGCCAAGTAGCTTCAGTCTCTTCCATGTGCATTTTCCACATAACCTTCAGTGAGTCACACCATACAGAAGAACACTCTGCTTTGACATAGTACTCAATGTTTCTCAAGAACAGAGAAAGCAAGACCGTAACACCGCAGACCAAAAAGACTGCATGACCACAATTTAATAGAAAATAAAGATGGACCAACAACAGCTTCCCTTCAGACTGAAGTGAAAGAATGTGGATGGGGTTACTGTGAACAAGAATTAAATTTCAAAATTCTAAATTGGTAGCACTGAAATCTTTTGAGCTGTTATTGAGCTGATCCAGCTCAATCTGAGAGAAGTCTAGAAACATATATTGTTCCTCTGATATGTCAAACCATTCCAATTCAGAATTTTATGAGAGCTGTTTTTCTCATGGAATTTCATCAAAACTTGAACCTAATCTTAAAAAAATCTCTCCCAATCCTGAAGCTTTCCTACAACTCATAATGAAGTAACAGGCTGAG